GTTTTCTGAAACGTTCTCTCCAAAAGCGGAAGATCTCTAGAGAGCAAGCAGCAAAGGAAATTGAGGTAATTATATTCTTATATTATGACTTAGTGTAATTTTGAGAATGGAATATATTGGATTGCATTCGACATGCATATATGTAGTTTTTGCCTTTCCTTAATAGAAATGAATGACAAAACATTGCAAATGAACAAATTTAAATGCTGGAACATTTAAATACCCACCTCCTCCCCTTCTTGAGTCTGGGGATTCATCTGACCAAAGGGTTTGGCTATCCTTGAAAGGCAAAGAGTACGTACATTTTAATTTAAAGATCATTTTTCTAATATAACATTGTTTAAATGTGATTCTGACAATATCTTTTTTAATAGATTTGTTCCTGCAAAAAGCCTTGCTGATGTCATTTCAGGGATCTTTAAGCAAAAATTTGAGGGAGCGTGGCCTACTTGGAAGGCTGTGGATGAATCAGTTCGGGACATGTGGTTCGGAGAGTTTCAGGTAATTAAATTTTGTTTAATTTAAAATATGTTGCATGTAGTTTTTAGTATGTTTCCTAATTCATTTTTAATGTAGAAAGAGTATAAGTGGGATCCACAACATGATCGAGCCATACGAAAAACTTTTGAGCATAAAATATCAACTCTTCTGAAAAATGCTATGCATAAGGTTAGACTAGGTGTCGATAAGGGAAATTGGATCTTGAAAATTTTCGAGCTATTTTAGATCACACTACAAGAAAATTGTCATATAGTGACACACATCTTATAGTGACACAATATGTGTCACTAAAAACTACTTTTACCTACATAATAAATATAATATATGTTGGTATATTATTAAAAAGTATGGGTATAAGTTATAGTGATACACAAAATATGTTGTTAAATCTCATTCAAAATCAACACTAAAATTATGTGCAACTATATGTCAAATAGATATATATTTACATATATTATACTTATACTGACACTTTTTGTATATCACCATATGTGACATTTATTGTAGTGTCAACATTGGGCTTCTGAAAAATTCCAAAATAAAAGTAATACTGCTAAAGGAAATCGGGCTGTAGAGAATGGAGCAACAGCCTACACTGGTGGCTCCATATTTGCAGGAGCCCACTTTGAAAAATTGGTAAGTTTATTTCATTTTTTATTTATATTTAGTTCAATTTAATATAATTGATTGGTTAAATTGCAATATTAACTTGTATTTAAATTTATATAGGCGAAGGAGCTAAATCGTCCCCCTACTGCTTGGGAATTAGTGGAAAGGACAAAAAAACTTAAGACTGGAGAATGGGTCAATGATAAAGCCCGCAACATTGTTGGTATTTTGGCCAGCAAAAGGACCAAGGAAAGCATGAACAAAACCATTTTCTAGAGAAAAAGGAAGAAGTACCTGAGATTGGTATATTTTCAAACTGGCCTCCTCCATGCCTGGAATTGGAATGAAAGTGTCATCACCCTCTTTGACCTTTTGAACTTGAGCACTAGCCATTAGCAGAGGAGTGCCCTGGCTAGTAGTTGCGGTGGCCATAGTGGTTACAAGAGTGGTGGTCATGGCAGCAGAAGTAGTAGCAGTCAAAATAGGGGAAGAAGTGGTGGCAGTAGGAGACATTGAAGAGGCTACGGAAGTTGAGGTGGATGCAGCAGAAGAAGCCATCAGAACAAGAGCAAAGAATGGAAGAATGAAGAAACCGAGGAGTACAGAGTTCGTCGGAGAAGAAGATTCATGCCGGAGAAGAAGATTCAGAAACTGGAGAAAACGAAGTGGCAAAGAAAGACTTGGGCGCCAAGGAAAGAAGTGGTGAATACGAAGTTTACCTTAGGGTAAAAGGAGTTTGATGGGCTTGAGGTAAAATGGGCCTGCAAATCATAAGATTCAAAATTAAAAATTACACATGGGCGCCAGGATATTTTAATAATAGAAAAAGAACGGACACACGCGCCGTATTTGCCATCAATGTCGCTTCAACGGTCAGGTACATTAAATGCAAACTCAAGTACAGGTCAGAATAGGGTATCATCGAAAGAGGCGTACTTTGATTGACAAGTAAGTAATCAAAGCAAGTCTTTATAGGAATTCGAATCTCTCCGATCAGCATACACTTCAAGATCGAATTCCTAGGGGGGCATTTGTTGGGGCAACTCGAAGACGAACGAGTCGAAATATTTGCAAGATTCCTCGAAAGAGATTATAAAGGCACGCGTCTACCAATGAACGAATGGGTAATTGTTTGAAATGGGACATTCGATGTGCTCGAAAAATAGTAACATGGTGCAAAGTACTTACGGTCATACAAGGAGAGTTAACGACTGGGTCGAGAAGTTAATTTACGTGAGATAAGCGGTTATGAGAAGTTACAAGTTAAAACCACGTGGTGAGCATAGTGGGCAGCGGTTATCCCCTAATGATGTACGTGCATGAAATTAACTGCCCCTAATTAATTCTATAAATACAAGTACTACGCACCTTAACAAAGGTCGGAAACATTCATACTGTTAGAACTCAATTCTCAAGCATTCCCGCTTGCGCATATGGCTTTCATGCACAGAATCGTTTTTGGGTATGATTAATTCCTGGCCGTTTTTCTCTTGCTTTTTAGGAGTAGAATTAGTGTAGCTATTTAAATTTATCCCTTGTAATCTACGAAATTGCATCACGTTGACATTGTACTTATGGAACAGTATGCAAATTAACCATGATTTGTATTGCAAATATTATCATTATCCATTCTGTTCATCTTAGTATTTACATATCTGAAAATTATTGCTTGTTAATTATAGAGGAATCTTTAGAAACAAGTAATTACTGAAGTTGTTCACTCCTTTTCCTGTTCTTAAATCAAAAATCCTAAATTGAAACCATTTACATGCTAGTTCGAGTAAAAAGAATCCATAAAACGACTTCCACCATAAACAGGACCGTTTGTCCATTTTCTTCATTCAATAACAAACGAAGACTATGATTCAACGTTGAAGTACAGACATCTTTAAATAGTAATCGTGTCATGTGGCATTTACGATAACATACACTTCTTGGGTACTTTGACTATTCTTAACTATATTTTATAAATTTTCTAATTTCTATTTTTATCTTTTTAAAGTTCCGTATAAATACATATAAAATTATCGTAATGATTAGATAGCTTGTAATATTTTATTATGTCTGCAGTAACTGTAACGATCCAGCTGGTCATTATACACTACACAGTACACCTGAAAACTGGACAGAAAGGAACAAGTGCATACATATAGTGTCTATAATATACATATATACATGGCTCAAGTCTGACTAGATTCAAAATGTACAACAAAAAAATATATCCAAGCTGCTACACCAAGTAGCTGAAAACAACAAAACATCTACTATGATCAGCTCCGCCTGCCAGCTGTAGACTCACCACTATCCACCCACCTATCCCTGCTCTGCTCCCATACATAGTATGATCATTGCAGTCCAACCACATGGAAACACAAAGGGTAAGCTAGTATAAAAGAACAACATATAGCAAGATTTAAGTAATATTAACAACTACAACTACCAACACATCGTCAGCCTACATCTCATCGATCGCACAACAAACCAGCAAATGGCAAATAATGCGTTGTCACGCACATCATCTTGGAGATCTCCTACAACAACTCAGCCATTATGGCCTACAATAACTCAACCAGTATGGCCTACAACAACTCATATCATTATACAACACATCACAACTTTACAGCACAACATATCATCTTACAGCACATCAAAACATCTTACAACAATATTCATCTGATACAACTCAACATCATCAAACAACTTTATCTACTAGTCATCACATCATAATCATCAACTTCAATTTATCTCAGCACAAAACAACATTGTACAGCATATAGTAAATTATCATCTATGCGCCCGGCGCACTTGTGGTTGCGCCCAGCGCAGCACAACCAGAGAGCACCAGGGGGCCAGCGCGCCCGGCACAAGCATGCCCGCACCCGGCGGGACTCAACCAAAGAGCCCAAGGCTCTCACGCGCCTAGCGTAATAACCAATTGTGCCTAGCGCATGCTAGGCAGAGACTCCAAGGAGTCTCACGCACCCGGCGTGCCCAAACTCGCGCCCAGCGTGGGGAAGGTAGAGACTTCCCTTGGTCTCGCGCCCCACTACAAGAAAATTCACATCAAAAACCTTGTCCTTATCTTCACAAATTAATAGATACAAAACAAAATATGCTTTCACATGGATCACCATCACATTTTCCCCCACCCAGATACCAAACTCAATGTCTTTAATTAATATATATTGTACATACACTTCTAAATTTTTGTACATGGTTAATTAGGTTATTTAAGCTATCATCCCCGACGAGAAACAGTTGTATCATTTTAAAACATTTTTTTAGGTCTAACATCTTGATATGCTCAACTTTCTAAAAACTCTCACTTGGCACATGTAGTCATGTAGATGAGTTAGTCACTTACGTTGCATTATCTTTAATTATAGTGAGATACTTTAGCTTTAATAATGAGGTTTTCATTGTTTAAACTTTGATGCGACTATTTAAAACATGCCTATAATATATTTATGTTAATTTGTCATTTAGTAACAATCAGATATTGTCAGCATAGAAGTTAGATCGTCTTTGTTAATAGTCTTTTATCTAAAGTTAAATGGTTTGTCATTTAATGACGTTTTTATAAGGGTTATAGGTTTTATTTAAAAAGTAAAAATAGTATGCATAATGCGTTATATTTTTAATGTGAGAAAATTACTGCATGCCTATTTGGGTTAATATCGTAAATGATCACATTACTGCAGAATTGTTAATTAACAAAAAAAAAATATTATTACAAACACAAACAACATCTGAACCAATTATTAGGGATCGGATATAAGACACAGAGTGATTGAATTAAGACAAAATCTCCTTTCTTTGATGCTTTCTCACTATTTATTTGTATTTGCATTAGTTTTAAGTTTTGAGACCATTGCTTGATAACTATCTGTACTAATCTTACTAATATGGTCCGCTACATCACCAAAATTCATGGTTCTTGAGGCTGTTTTGGATTGTGTTCTTGTTACATTTCAGATTAAGTGAGATTCAGTGGGCTGCTTTTGTTCTACTCACTGCTGGGTGCACGACAACTCATTTGAATTCAAAGTAAGAATAATTCACGCCTAACTTGTGGCCATCACTTGTGTATTTGTATGTTCCCATGACTGTTGTATATATGTTTTCTAATAATGAACATGTTAATGAAATTTTTATGTACAAGTTGTAATGTAACAAATGAATCATAAATGATAGGTTGGTGTTGTAGCAAGTGTGACTACTAGATCTTTGATATTACAGTAACAGCTTACTGTAATGTAACAAATGAATCATAAATGAAATTTTTATGTACAAGTTAAATCTTAATTTTTAATAATTATATCATAAACTAAATCTGTTCCCATCTTATCAAGAAGAAGATTTAATTATATTACAATATGTTGATATAATTATACCTAAATCTTAAGCTGTCAAGCTAACTAAATCTGTTCCATTATTAGTTGCTTTTAATTACTATTATTATTAGATATAAGGAATATTCAATTATATTCCTTATAAGTTGTATGTCTAATTTTATTGTTTGATTCATGTTTCTTAGTCATTTTGGAGTCAAGCTGAAAATGGAAATGGCCACTTATCGAGCATGGATGTATAATAGGCTTCTTCCTGGTCGAAGGGGATATACAACTGAGTTTTTAAATGGCCTTGAAGAGTTTATGGCTATTGCTCGTAAACAACCAGTTTATTTGAGTGAAGGAAAAATAAGGTGTCCTTGTAAGTCATGTAAAAATGAGGCTTATTTAACCCTAGATGAAGTGAATGTTCATATTCTTCAAAGAGGATTTACACCTAGATATTGGTATTGGACATCCCATGGAGAGAGAATCCCTCGTACAAACGTTGATGTTGATATGCATTCAGTTTCTAGCAGTAGTCAACAATGGGGTTATGGAGATGTTAATAGACATCAAGACATGGTATTTGATGCTGCTGGTCTTAATCATGAGCAACAAAATGAAGAGGAACATCCAAATATGGAAGCTGCCAAATTTTACGAAATGTTGAATTCAGCTCAACAACCATTATGGCCAGGATGTGAAAATACATCTGAGTTGTCTGCAGCTATTACAATGTTGAGTTTAAAATCTAAGCACAACATGTCACAAGCTTGTTTTAATGATGTGATGAAGTTTATGAAAGAGTCAAGCCACCCTAAGAATGTCATTCCTTTTAATTTTAGGGAAACAAAGAAACTTGTAGTAGGGCTCGGTTTATCGAGTAAAAAAATAGATTGTTGCATTAATGGGTGCTTGTTGTATTACAAAGATGATAGTACTTTGAAGGAATGCAAATTTTGTGAAGAGCCTCGATATAAAGCACGCAATGCACACAAGAAAAATTCAAAAGATGTTCCCCAAAAAAGATTGCATTATTTGCCACTCATCCCTAGACTACAAAGGTTATATGCTTCTGTGAAAACTGCTGAGCACATGAGATGGCATTATGAAAATCGTAGGGAAGAAGGTGTGTTGTGTCATCCTTCAGACGGGAAAGCTTGGAAACACTTTGACCATTTGTATCCTGAATTTGCCAATGAACCTCGAAATGTTAGACTTGGCTTATGTGCTGATGGATTCACTCCTTTTAACCAACTAGGAACACAATATTCTTGTTGAGACCTCAAACCCTCCTCCACGTTTGTCTAGTCCTAATATATGGAAGCAAGTTGCTCATTTACCGCTTGCCCAAGATAGGGGAGATGAAAACCCTCCACATTATGGAGACAAACATAATTGGACAAAGCAAAGTATATTTTGGACCTTACCATATTGGAAAACACACCTTCTACGCCATAACATTGATGTCATGCACACAGAGAGAAATGTGTTTATGAATGTGTTTAACACTGTGATGGACATTAATGGGAGGACAAAGGATACTAACAATGCTCGATTGGATTTAGCAGAAATATGCAATCGAAGGGAACTTGAGTTGAAAGATGTTGGTCGTGGTAAACTTATCAAGCCTAAGGCAACATATGCATTGACTAAATCCCAAAGAGTAGCTATTTGTCAATGGGTCAAAGAACTAAAGTTACCCGATGGATATGCTTCTAACTTGGGTAGATGTGTTGTTATTAAGGAGGGAAAGTTACATGGAATGAAGAGTCACGATTGTCATGTTTTCATGCAACGATTGCTTCCAATTGCATTCGACTCGTTACCGAAACCTATTTGGAAGGTTCTTGTTGAACTTAGCTATTTTTTTAGGGAATTGACTTCTACTACACTAAATGTTGAGCAATTAAGAGTTATGGAAAATGACATACCTGTGTTGTTGTGTAAGTTGGAACAAATATTCCCACCAAGCTTCTTTGATTCAATGGAGCATCTTCCTATTCATCTTCCCTATGAGGCTAGGTTTGGTAAGTTATTTATATGTCATAATTAAATTTATTTATATTCATTAATTTAATCATTAGTTGGTAAGTTAACCTTTAGATTTGCTTATTTTCTTAATTTTTAAAGTGGGAAACTCTGTTCAGAAATTTTAGACGGATTTAAATCCATGGGAAACTTTGTTCAGAAATTTCAAACGGATTTAAATCCGTGGGAAATTCTGTTTAGGAATTTCAGATGGATTTAAATCCGTGGGAAATTCTGTTCAGAAATTTCAAACGGATTTAAATCCGTGGGAAATTTCGTCGGAAATTTTAGAAGGATTTAAATCCGTCGAAAATTCCGTCGAAAATTCCATCATTTAAAAATCCGTCAGAAATTCCGTCGGAAATTTCCCACGGATATAAATCCATGGGAAATTTCTGGCGGATTTTTGTCCGTGAGAAATTTAACTTTTTCTTGTAATGGCCAGCGCAATTCGAATTGTGCCCGGCGCCTCCATGGCAGAGACTCCAAGGAGTCCCAGCGCCCAGCGAGACCAAGATTGCGCTCAACGCCATGCCAGAATCCGAAAAACAAGTCACAACCGACATCGCGCCCAACGCGGTTCAACCTTCGCCCGGCGTGGGCCATCCAGAGGCTAACATCTTCAAGCACACCCGGCGCACACATCTTTGCGCCCGGCGGGCTTGCCTAAATGCTGCCCTCAGATGGCCATGCGCCTGGCGCGGAGAACTGCGCTCAACGCGAGTTTAGTAGTAAACCTAATACTTTCGAAAATTCTTCAAAAACCTGCAAAATAATCAGGAAATTCCACATGCAATCGGTTCAAATTACCACATTTTCATCAAAGAGTTCAAAAATACCATCTTTTGGTACATGCAACCACAAATCAAGAATTTCCCAAATTTCCTCAAAAACCCCCCAAAACCCCCAAACTTCATTTTCCAGCTATCTCAACTAAGAATCATCAATCATCAACCAGCAATGGAGTTTCTAAAACTCGCTCTCAACCAAAATCCGGAAGAACTAGCTTCCCTTACCTCGGTGTGAGAATCCGAGCACCGGGAAGAGGAATAAACGGAGAAGAAAAGAGGACGAAAGAGAAGCTCCGCACGGCAGGGCCCCGGAAGAACAATCATCTACTCAGCACGTTCAATACAAAGTTACCACAAGGACAATGAGAGCACAGCCAGCAAAATGGATGAGAAGAGTGGGAGTGAGGAGAAAATGAGAATTGAGTGAGAAGAGAGTGAAAAAGAGTCTGGGGAAGAAAGAAAAGGAATAAAGGGGTCTCACAGTAACATATACGCTTTTTTCAGAATATTAATTCTATCATCTGATTTAAAATTTGTAGGTTTCACATTAATTTTATTTCTTACATGGCGCATACAAGAGCAGCTTTAACTTTGGCTTTTGAAGAGTCACTACTACAAAAACAGTATTTAACATCGCCATATTTACATCGGTTCTACTAGAACCAATGTAAATCATAAACACGGTGACAAACTTGTAAATAAATATAAAATAAAAACATATATACATCGGTTTTGCTTATGACTGATGTAGAAGATAAATCCGGGAGTTGTTCTACATCGGTTTTTCTTATAACCGATGTGGAAATGAAACCCTAACATTCTCGCGCGGGTGCACACTCCCCCTCTCTTCAAATTCCCAAACCTCCAAGACGCCAAAGCCCTCTTCGATTCCATCGCCACCTCCTCCACTCCTACGCTGTTGTCGTCGCCTCCCCCTCTAACTCCCCCACTTGACCGTCGTTCAATACTCCTAATCGGAATAATCAAAGAGAAAGCATCGCAGAGCAAGGCGGCGCTACTCTCCTAATGGACCACCCTCTCCCTCCTCTACGCCACCACCCACGACTCCTCCGTGCCCCCCACGCGCAAGCACCTCGCCACGCTCATCTCCTCTGCCGATGGCTCACGCACCACTGCCTCCGCCTTCGTCGACCTCCTCATGGACCGCCTCAACGCCACGCACCATGCCACCGTCGCCCTCAAGTGCCTCGCCGTGCACCACATTGTCTGCAACGACACCTTCATCCTCCAGGACCAGCTCTCCGTCTACCCCTCCTCCGGCGGAAGAAACCACCTCAACCTCTCCAACTTCCACCGTAGCACTGCCGACCCCACCTCCTAGGTGCGGTGGTTCGCGCAGCACGTGGAGCAGCTCCTCTGCGCCTCCAGAGACCTCGGCTTCTTCCTCAGAGCCAACTTCGATAGCCAAGACAGGGTCTCGGGGATCACCAACGCGCACCTGTTGACCGAGTTTGACTCCCTCGTGGAGGTGGTGGAGGGGATCTGGAAGAGGCTCGAGCCCACCGAGCGCACCTGGTGATTAGTGTGGATTGCTTTCACGTTTCGTTTTCTATACTTTGGTGATTATTTATGAGAAATAAAGAGTTGGTGTTGTTTTTTTATGCTAAGAGTTTTGCAGATAGTTTTGCTTACTGTGTTCTGGTCTTTTTCGGGTGGAAGGTTGTTGTGTGCTATTAGACTGAAAGGGCTTGGTTGAAATGTATTGAACATGCTAGATTAAAGTCTTTGTGCTTCAGCAGAAAGAACACCCCAAATTCAGAAGAAAGTCTGAAGACCATTTTGTGGAGCACTCCTTGTCCCTCACTGAGGCCTTATGTGGCTTCCAATTTGTGCTGACTCACTTGGATGGTCGTCAACTTCTTATAAAGTCAAATCCAGGGGAGGTTGTCAAGCCTGGTATGTAAATGGTCCACATCTCTTTTAATAGTTCTTAATCTTTTATAGGTTTGGAGTGGGTGAATAAGTTCTTAATTTGTGTCATGTTTTAGTTTAATTGAAGTTTGGCACTTTGGCTTGCATGATAACATTTGGGGATATGCGTGATTGTCATCACTAGTTCTTAATTCTGGTGATTGAAGCATTTTAAATGTAATATTTGTTTCTTGGTATATCTTGTTTTAAAGTAATTATTATAAAAATACTTTTTCTCATTGTGATTCTTTTTTTTGTTTGACAGCATTGAACACGCTCAAGCATCTCATATTTGTAGCTATAAAGCAGCCAAGCTCAGTGATGAACAAGCTTTTCCCAAATTTCTAGTGAGAGGAAATTTCCTTATGTTGTTTTTTTTCCTTTTCTAAATTTCTAGCTGGGCACAATTCATGTGTGTTTGAAACTGGTCAATATGTAGGTGATCTAGCTGATCCAACTGCACCGAATGCTCTGCTGGTCGGTGGCTTGGCTAAGCCAAATCATGTCTCGGTCACTGGATCAGAATTGCAACTGGATCGGCCAGTCGGTGATGCCATAATCTAAGTGGATAAGACTGCTGCTCCTGATCATGTAGTAGGTGATCCAGCTGCTGATTTGGTTCCATTCCAACCAAGGTATTGTGTTGTTTTTTTTTGTTGCTGCTATTATAAAAGCATGGTCTTTTGATTAATAGCCTATAATTTGGGGTTTTGTTGTGTTTTCAGACTGACCTCCGTTTCCAGAGCCATGCTGTTCTTGCGTTGCAAAAGGCTGTCGAGTTTATTTATATGTCATAATTAAATTTATTTATATTCATTAATTTAATCATTAGTTGGTAAGTTAACCTTTAGATTTGCTTATTTTCTTAATTTTTAAACGTAAATAATAACTAATTTGAGTGATTTTATATGTAAATTAGTTCTAATTATCTCAAAATTTCTCTTTGACCTAACCATTTAAAAAACAAGTTGCAATAATAAATTAATAATGGAAGTAACACAAGAAGGAGCAGAAGAAGTTTCAAATTAAACGTGCTTTCTTTTGTTTGGTTGACGCACGTGGTGTAGACATATATAGTTTCTTAGCACGAAACCAAAAAAATGCTTAACAGAAATATATATATAAAGTTCTTTAAATATAATACATTATATACTCACATACACCTATATATAAAGTTCAAATACCGTAAAACATGGACTTATGGCAGTCATTAATTTGTCAGATTTCTGTTTTGTTTTTTAAGTAAGCAATGTATGTCTCTCAAATTTCTTTTATGGCAAGGAAAAAGAACTTATCATTTCTGACAAGAAGTTTAATTATTGATTGGATCTTGTAGAAAATTCTGTGTTCTGAGACAGCTGCTTTATAATGTATGGCATGTTTCAGCGTGGCAATAAGTAATCTTTGGCCCTTAGCTGTTGCTGTAACAAAAACCCAGATCTTGTAGAAAATAGATACGAGTAAGGTTTTGAAAATTGGTATGCCATTACTATTTTGGACGCAACATCATATTTTTATTTATATTTT